CAACGAAAATTTTGGGGAAATATGCAGCAAAAGAAAAAAAAATGGCACATTTTTCGGCAGAACAAAATGAATGGAACGATGACGGTAGTAAGCCATCTATAAAAACTGATGAATTCATTATACTATAAAATAAAAAAAAGAAATGACAGGAGGAGTGTAGACAGTATGCTAGCGGCTCACCCTTAGGACAGCGTCTTTAAAGTTATTAATAGAATCCGCTGATGGATTAAACAATAAAGATTCTTATTATACCCTATACAAAGCAGCCGGCAAGAGTTGTGAAGTTGGTGGTTTGTGATTTAGTAAGATAAATAAGTCGATTCATAGTACTTCGTAAATTTATCAGATACATTGATAGGGAGGAGGTGGAAAAGGACAAAATGTTATACCCTTAATTAATTTTATGATAATGATCGCTCATAACGCTTAGCGTCTTTTCTCTAATGTAAAGAATATCTTTTAGTCGACTAGGAAAGTTAGCAAATTTCCAGCGGGAAGTTATATTAAAATTTCAAGAAAAAAGTTTCTTCCAAACAAGGAGTTTTCTACATATTGCAGGATATTGAAAAGCAATGAAGACAAAAATTGATTTTTCGAAAAGTTCGTTATGGTTCCTTCCCCTAACATGCTGTCACCTGGTGAAATATTTACTTTAAGCAAGCAAGTCTGTAGCTAATTTTTACATCGAAAAAATGCAAGAAAGTAAAACGCCGATCGTTGTGCACGCACTTGTCCTTCAATCACTATTTCATTTGTTCTATTGTCCTAAGTTAGATTGCTGTTTCCACTTGTTTTTGTTTACTTTATGCGCTAATTATAATAATAAAGTAGACTGCTGTCAAAAATTTTTTTTTCAATCATAAAGCACGTACTCTCTCTCTCTACATATATTTATAAAATAGTCGTCTATATATATATATATATATATGTATATATTATGAAAATATGTTAAAAATGTTACTTTTGCTATAAATGCTTTATTGCCGTACAAATAAATGCTTTATTAAGCACATGTGGGAAAATAGATAAAAACAAAATTTCGCGCTATTTAATAATTACAGAGGTATATAATGATGATCATGTACGTGAGAAAGCCACCGGACAATTTGTAATTTTGCTGAAGGTAAAAGCCGCAGCGCAGCACAGCTGAAGTGGGGAATGTGCTTAGATATTCCGATGATTTTTTATAGATCGTAATTCGATTGCTATACTATTTTATGAGTTGTGGCCGGACTTCATAGCAGGAATACATATGCGGTAGCAAATATAGAGATATAGGGTATTATAACGGAATTAACTTTACCTGGAAAAATTTGGAAAACCTAAGTAATCTAAGAATAGAAAAAAAAGATGAGCACTTTGCTAGTACAAAGAGGCGTTCAATTTAACTTATCGATACGGTTACTTGGGTTAATCGAAATTGCTTACAGCATTGCAAAGACTTGTTTGAGAAAGATGCTCTATAAAATGGATTCGGCCTTTCTTCTTCGCTATGCAAGCATCACTGTAACGTACACAGCAATACGAGTAAGTTTCTTATTGACAGGATTGAAATAAGGAAAGTTTGTATTTTGGGCGATATTTATGTTGGGTGATTGTTAACATACACGAGAGGAAAATTTAGCACTAAAATTCAATCAAACGAAGCCATCGGTTGAAAGTGGTGATTATGACGCCGAAATAGATTTTGCTTAGCGGAAATGTAACACCATGCTCTTATGCTTTCCTTCCTTATTTCCTTGCTTTCCTTGCAAGGGCTAAAGCAAAAAACAGGCGAGTAAAAATTATTGAGCCTAATGAACCAAATGAATGAAAAAAAAGTAGTGACTTCCGAAAGAGGAAATCACGATAATTCTCCTTGTAAACGTTCCTTTGCCAAAGGAAAACTTAATGGATATTTATGCACAATTTTATGGGATACCAAGCTATCCACACATAAATTACTTTTGAGCTGTCTGACGTCTTCAATGATAATAACCATATGGTAGGATCGATATTTTAGAGATGGCATCATAAATCAGGGACGAAAGAGGTTCACATTTGCTCTTGTAGATTGTCTTGCAAACGTACGTGCATATATATCTCAATACGATACAGAATATATTTATATTGTAGCGAGGCTCGTGTAAAAAAATCGCAGCAAACGGTATATATTTTGAGACCAATAAATTTTCTCTTCGGGCTTACATATTATAGATTATTTCAAACACGTATACATTTCTTTGAACGATGTAAAAAGTATGTCGGCATCCTTGTTTTGGAAAACTGTAGGCCACACAACGCTCCGGTTTGTACTCCATGGACTCCATATAACAAACATGTTACCTAAAATACAGAGTAAAAGACCGAAGCTTCGCGAAATGGACTTGGACGTTAAATAAATGCACAAATGAAAAAATCATTGGTTGCCGGGAAAGCAAAATTATCCGTGTTGCACTTGCTTTGAAATTGTCTTATCACCTACAAAAAGAAAATTAAATGCAAATAAATTTGAAATTTGGCTGTGATTCAAAGCGAAAAAACATTTAAAAGCATGATGTTTAGCGTAAGCAATTGTTAATTGATGGTATCACATTTTAGTTAAGGCACTTAATGGATTCCCTGCTTTACACCACCAACTTTATTCTGGCGTTGTGGCTGATGACCAGTGATACCAAAAAGTTAATGGGTTTGCTTTTCATAGCTTTTGTCACTTTGTATCAAGAAACACTCCCGAAATCAACTCTGTTGTACAAAAATGTTCTTCAGTCGTGAAAACCTCCTAAACAAATGCTAGCAACTGCTTTGTGACTTGCAACGTTTTGTAATAAAAACGCAATATTTCACCAACACACCTAAAGATTCTCATTCTTTGCTAGTCCTCTGCAGCAACTGAGTACTATGTAGCGTGCATTTTAACGGTGAGTTACTTATGTGCTTAAGCTCCTTGCACTTCAAAGGCAAGCTTGTGAAAAATTAGAAATTGAACTAAAAAAAAATGCAGTGTTTCCCACTCAGGCCAAAAATCTTTCTCCTTGTTCTTATATTCTGTAAATTTTGAAAATTACACGTACGCGTGCCTGTATGGTGGATCATTGATCGCAAAGGGTCCTGCTGAATAACATCACCACTATTCACTTTTAGCTCAGGGAGCTCTTCCGTCTAATTCTCTACACCAGGACTAATAAAAGCAATTTTTCATTGAGTTTTCAAAGAAACGGCGTTACTTTGCCTGTGGGCATTTGCTAACCTACATCTTTTGCATATGAAAATATTTCTTTTTATTAATTATTATTACAAAAAAGCTTACGACTTAGGTTTTGGCAGCTTTAAATAGATCAACTTCTGTAAATGTGGGAAGCGTTACTTTTGTGCCTATTTTTATGGACCTAGGCTAGCAGACGTAGAGTAAGGCCACACCTTCGTGCCATGTGCAGGCAAATAACCATTATGATGGCAAGGCGGACGATTAACACCGACAACAAAAACAATTAGTTCTTCCTCGACTGTTTGGGAGATCAAACGTTGTCAACAACAATTAATGAATTTCGACTGTGCAATACGCAATCTTTCGTCATAGCGGCTTTAGGCATCGTATTGCAAAATATGTCTACGAAGCAGTAGCAGCACTGGGCTAGAATGTGTTATCTTTCCGCCTATTCATCATACAGATCTTTTTTAATTCTAGTCAACCTTAATTTCAATTGAATCGATCGATTATTTAACCGAGCAAAGGATACAAAAATTTTATTATATCCATAAAATAGCTCCTTAAAGGATCGCTTGCCCATCCAACGCAGAATTTATCTTTTAAGAGAAAGATGGAAAGGGCGTATATCTGACGATGAGTGATGTCTTGCTTACAAAATATTTTTTATCATCCCTTTTTATAAACGCTTCTTTTTGTTTCATAAAGAAACCAATAAAAGATTACTTCGGAATGTAGTGCACCCTATAAGTTACCTGCTGTATGCAGATCTAAAGTGAGCTGCAAGAAGGACTTTATAGAATGAGAGGAAAAATCTCCTAATTTTCTATTGAAATTTTTATAAAAAGTTATATAAAGTATATGTTATAAAAATTTTTAAAAATAACAAAATGAAAATTTTCTAAAAAAAAAAAAATATTAAAAAGATAGAAAAATCTCTTAGAAGTACAGAATAATAATTTAGGCAAAATGGTTTGCAGTGCACGTAATGAAAAATGGTTTCACCTTTTATATCTCATCGCACTTAAACAATTCTTGTAGAGTGGTGCAAATGTTAGGACAAACTTTTCTATTTACTTCAAAAACTTAAACAACCATATCCTTCTTAGAGTTTTCCATTAGATTCTACAATTAGCTCGAAAACGTCTCCATTGCGTATCAAGATGATGAGAATAAATAACAAATAGTTATATTATCCTTGTAAAGCCTTTACATTGTTAAAAAAAAGGATTTATAAAAGTATATCATTGAAACGGATTAAAAAAAGTTGAAAATTAAGTTTTTGGAAGCTTTACTTGAATTATGAAAAATTTTTTTGGAAGCGCACACAAACTATTTAGTTTTTATGATACAAAAAGAAGTTTTAAATTTTCATCTTTGTTAATAGAGAGAAAACAAAGGATATTTTAAATAAAAAATTATTTTATTATTTAAAGAAAAAACATTTTTTTTGTTTTTAGTTGAGTAACTATTATAAAGTTTAACAAGATTGTTTGTGCACACAAAGTAGCAACCGAAACTGGGTCACTCATACGTCGACGACGATGACGACGACGTGTAGGTTTTAAGGGAAAATATATCAAAGGCATTATTATTATGAATGAGATGCACAAACAAACCCACGCATGTACGCGCATACGTACTATGCATTTGTATATATGTTTATATGTATGCATATGTATATATATATGTATATACACGGATTTTCATAATATTGGGAGTAATTTCCTCGTTTTTGTTTCACTTTTTGTTTCTTTTTTTTCAAAACTATTTTACAGGTAGTTTTTTCAAAAGACTAGTTAGCTTCCATTACCATGAGCCTTGTTGGGCGTTCTTTCCATATGTGTGTTTAATCCAAAAATGAACATCATTATTACGTATTCCAGCAACATTTCATTTGAAGTTGTCACACGTTGAGGCGATACCGTTGTGTTTAACTTGTTTGAATAAACATTTATTTCTTGTTTGCTTAGCGGTTACCGATCACAGTGTAAAAGAAAATATCAATTATTTATTATAAACGATTAAATCTTTGTAGAGATTAGACGCAAGCGTGGGGTCATTTCACCTTAAAATATGTTAAAATAAAAATAAAGTCCATTCAGGTCCACGAAACCTACAATTTTTCACTATACATGTGACGATACTGTAATTGCTGACATATTCTTATTTGAAATATCATTTCATTTATATACAGAGTTTTAACTTTTCTCGGCTTTCGTTTGTTTATTTATTGCTCTGGTTACAGTATTTTTAGTTTAAAACATCGTAGATCTCTTAAATATTTTATAGTCTTAGGTTAGGTTAGGGTTTGAAAACCGTTATCATTTCGCTTTCATGGAGTGCGGGTTCAATGTGTTGTAATCGCATTAAAACAACAACAATAACTGTTTGTTTTATCACTGTACGTTTATTGGAATTTTTTTTTTTACATAACGCTTTGTTCAAGAACGAAGCTACACAGAAATTATACGAGCTCTAATATCACGAAACGAATTGTTTGCGAAAGGGAAATTGAGTAGCAGCGATTATAGGAGCAACAACAACGGCAAAACACGGAAGACATGTTAGCTTTTCCGTAAAATCCACTTTAACGTCCCTACGTAGCAACGTGCAACCAACAACTAAATGACAAAAATCATTTTGAAAGATTTGCAGGTTACGTTTGTGCTTAATGCTTAATGTTCGAAAGCAACGTTTATCACAGAGGAATGGCAGGAAAGTGAAACAAAGAGTAAAAAGAGAATATCGGAGATATTTTGCTTACAAACAGAGTTTGCGCAGTTATTTTCCTTATGTTTAGCAACAATTTTTTCGTCGCGTATGTGTTTTAAGACATATCTTCATTATCTTCTTTTGTTCTTGTGATTTAAATTTTACAAGTTTACACAAGCATCATATAAAAACTTAAAAACAAACATTGTGTATGTGTTCATATTATTATTGTTTTTATAAAAACTTTTTTACTAATGTTATCCTATGATATTTATTCGCATAAGAGTATTTTACAGTTTTTGCTTTTCCTGTTTAGATGTATGGATGTTGGAAGAAAATCATCTCATCATATTGCGCTCACGTGTACGTATCGTGCGTTCCATATTATTCTAACTCTTAAGAAGTCTTCAGTCAGTTGTTTATTATAAATTGATATTGCGGCTGAATGCCTGACTTATACAAAAACTGACGCCCTTTTTAGATACTGCAAGCAAAGATCTTCTAACCGAAATGATCTATTTGTTGCACATTCAGTTAATCTCGGTTTGCTGTTTAAATGTTTTTATGTATGTACTATGTCATGCACCATTTTCGCTCTGCCCTTTTTGACGATTTTGGTAAGAAAAATGGGTGATAAAGACATTTCGGAATATGTCCAATAAAGGAGCTGGTAACTAAGATACCCTGCCTGCTGCATAACAAATTTGAAGTAAGATGGAAAACTGCAGTTTTCCCATTCAGTCGATAATTGCACTAAAATCAGCAAAATGGCGGATAATATTATATATCGACTTTATTACATGTTTTTGTTCGTTTTTGAAACGGTTGTTAGCTCTTTTCCGTTACAGGCGAATCGCATGTTTGCTCTAAAATGTCGGTGTCAACTTGCCTCTGCCTGTCGGGACCTATTCTAGAAGAGCAACAAAGTGTTAAACAGGAACCAGGAACAGAAAGTGTTAAACATGTGATTCGACGAACAGATGCGCGCACCTACAAATGGATGGATGAGAAACTCGACGGATGAACAGATGGGCAGATTGATAGCTGGATATAATATTTGAGTAAAGAAGTGGATAGGCAAGTGAATGCGCGGAAGGAACGGACGGGTAGACACATGAATGAACCGATAAACAAGGCTACAGCTATATGGACGGAAGAGAAGTGTGATAAGAATTTCACGGAAAAAGGCAGGGAAAAGAAGAAATCATCGAACAGAGAGATACCTGTGCAAACAAGAAAAGAAAAATTGAAACATGCGGACAGAGCAGGGAACAGAGATATCAATAAACAAAAACATCGACGAATGGATAGCACACATACATGGACAAGCGGGTGCGCGAACAGGACGCAAGGGATAGACAGGCGCTTTTTTACATTCCACAGTACCTATAAAGTAAATTATAAAATAACATAAAGTGATGAGTAACCAATTTTCGCCAAAAACTTACCTACCATTATTTACTCGCTTCTGTGAGAAATTGATAACAAGAATATGTGCAGATATCTACCTGTGTCATCACGTTGACACAGTCATTTCTTCTCTTTCCATTGATATATCAGTGCAGATGTCACAATTTACTTACGGGGTGTGTAAGTAATAATATAGTAAGTCACTATCGTTCTGTGACCCTTGCCACCATCTTGCAAATATACGTACGTTGCATATGCGAGTATAGAAGCGCTTATTTAATGAGAAACTATTCACGAAATATTTATATGTGTCAGCAAATATTTACACTTTATTTGCGACATTCAATTGAGTTATAAATCAAGGTCATCGTAATCAAGCCGTACTCCGTACGCATCATTTAATTCGTGTTAGCAAAATACAAGCAGCATCGTCGTCGCTGAAAAGTGTTGGTGTGCACTAGCTATATTATATGCATATAATGCACATGCATGTCTGTACCAATGTTTTTATAATATGTACGTTAATGTAATATTAATTATGTTAACTTTAACAAACACGTGCTCTACAGTATAATCCATTAAAATTAATTTGTTTTTGTAACTTTTGTATTACATGTATATCAGTTAGCATCCGCATATACTATATCCATATTTGGACAATTAAGAGCGGAAAATTATACGCTAAACTGAGTAAAGGCAACAACCGTTCAATGCCATACTTTAAAGCATATATATCAATCAAATGTATCTTTGTATGCGTATATGAAAGGGTATTCGCATATGTTACTGTTCCACAAAGTTTTGCATTTTAAATTGTGTCACACATATGAGACGCTTGACGCACTCGCGTACATACTTGCTTCACAGAGTTGAATATTTAAATATATATATGGTTTTTATATGCATGCATCGATTTCAACGGCATATTTCGTGCACTGTTTTAATATTTCTACAGTAAACAAAAAAATATTGAGCTTAATTATTGAGAAAAAGTTAGTGCACGTGGTTATTAAATGTGTGAGTGCATAAAGCTGATCTATTCATCCGTAGATAGTTTAGTTAATCGATTATCCGTTCATTTGTCCACAATGCTGCGCTCCATAGAAGCGAACAAAATTATGCATTTTCTACGCACACACTCTGGCCATTCATCTGCTTGTACATGAGTTCCTCTGAATCTATGAGACAAGTATATATCAATCTTTTTCACTTATTCACTTGCTGTTTTGAAATAAATGTGCCCGTGTGTCCGTCTACTCATTCATCCATTTATATTCCTCTATCCATCTGCATGCCTATTATCATTTCAGTTACCATTTATTCGTCCGCCCATCACTTTGCTCATTAATTTGATCAATTTACCATCTGTTTATTCGTCCGTCCATACATTTGTTCATAACTTGATGGTTTTACCATCTCTTGCTTCGTCCACATATATATTCACCATAGGCTTAATTTTACCATCTAATCGCTTTTCCATACGTCTGCTCACTAATCTAATCATTTTACCATCTGCTCGTCTGTTCATCCGCCAATGCCATCAAAGAGTTAATTTGATCAATCACTTGTCTATCCATTTGTTTTGTTCAACGGATAAAACGGCGATGTGAGCATTTGTGCTCTATATGTCTCTGCGCAGAGGCGTTCATTATTCCTAAACTTATGAAAACGGTCTAACTTAACATTGAAAGCTGAAACTTTACACATGTAGTTTGGATTTAATTCTTCCGACTTATTTCAACCAAGACGTAACTTGTCTGCTAAAGCTAAAAATTGTTGTAGACATTCCGGCAATTTCTGTACCAATCAAATAAAGCAATGACGTATAAATAATTGCAGCCGATGTTTGAAATGGTAAGAGAGAGATTTCCATCTTTTCTTCCACTCTTTTTTTCTCGTCTTTTGATCGTACAGACTATATGAAAAATGCAAAGGGAAATAGTGAGTACTTTGAAATAATGTATATGGAAATTTTCTTCTTACTACATAGTTGTGTAGAAGTTAAGGGTTTGATAGTGATTTACACCTGTACACAGGTGCTAGTAAAAGCCGATTTGTTTATAAAAAAAAAGTGTTTTTTACAAACTTCTGTGTGGAATAGTAGTAGTAAGTGGAGTGCCTGTGCGTACGTGAGTAAGTGGACGAATCGCTTTTCGGTCATTATGAGAAGAGCACATATTTAAATAACAAAATGTCATTTTATGTATGTGTATACAAATTTGTTTTCGCTATAATTATTGTTAACTGCTGATATTAGTATTTCCGATTATTGTAAGTAGGTTAGCAGGAAAAATGAGCAAAATCAGAATAAAGAACAAAAAAGTGAAATAAATGCTACAGAAATGAACCGATAGATCAGAGAGTTCCAATGCTTTCATTCTAATATCTCGATTGTATGCAATCGTCGATGTTATTCGAATAAAAAATAAACAACTTTTTAATTAATTACACGTTTTATGAAAAATTATTAAGACATGGTAAGGAAAAAAAATTATTCATCAGAAATCGTTCGATCCCCCTTAAACTAGAAACCATCGTTTCCAGCACAGTGCACATTCGGTAAAGGCATACGACTAATCGATTGGACACCTTTCGTGCCAGGCGAATTAGGCAGATCTACTTACTGATTTGTCATCTTAAAAAAAAAAAAAAAAAAAAAAAAAAAAAAAATAACAAAATTTCACTCAGTCGTGACGGAATCTTTAATACACATCACCGTTTTCCTAAAAACAACAACAAATGTAAAGGAATCGAATTTTAATGTTCTACGTAAAAGTTTTTGTCGCATAGGTGTGTGAAATCTAGGTCGCTTCGAAATTCTTTTGCATATTTGTAGGTGATGTCTTCATTTTGCGAACGGATGAATGTTTATCGTAGCTACTACACAGTTGGGCAAACGGATTGGTGAATAACAAACAGGCGGACTTGCTTAGGTGCATTCCAAATTTGAAATTGGGATTTTGAATTGAGAATTTTTAAACTTAGGAGATTTTTGAAGCTTGTTTCAATAGAGATACTACAGCATCGTCCGTAGAATA